CCCCCCCCGCCGCGGGGCCCTACCATCTTCCCGGAAGGAGGATGCGCCGCCACGAGCCTTGCCCTTCACCTACGGCCGGAGGTTGGTTCCTTCCGCTTTTATCGTGCCGGAAGAGCCCCCGGAATGGGAGTTCTGGGGCTCTCGCGGCTCTTCTTCCCTGGGGAAGATAATGGCTCGGCTGGCACGGACCGCTGGAGGGTGGGCGCCACACGCCTGGGCCCGGAGAGAGAGCGGCGGCTATTGGCCAGCGGGAAGGCTGCCCTGCCAATCAGGATTGGCCTCCAGCCAATCGGAAGCGCGGTAGCGGAGTCCCGTAGGCTCTCTGTGGCGACCGTTGGGTCGTTAACGGCCACCGATGGCGGCTGCCGGGGCAGGGGCCGTCAGGAGGGGAGCGGCCAGGGGTGAGCGCGGGGCCGCCTGTCCTCGCTGGGGCCCGCGGCGGGAGCGAGCGGGGCTGTGTCAGGTCAGGGCGGCTCAGCAGTACCAAGCGTTGTAGTGAAGTGAGAAACGTCCTTCTTGTGCTGTCCTCGTGTTGTATGACCAAAAAAATAAAAATCAAGAGCTGATAACGCAGTGTGGTCCGCTGTCTTTCAGGGGGAGCGGAGGTAGGCAGCTGGGATGACTCTTCAGGCAATGGTGAGCGAGGCAGCCGGCCTGCACCCCGGCAGGGAAGCGGTGAGGTTTGATGCGTGCGATGGCGAACCCGCCGCTTGCTACACGTACGCTACTGTGGCTAAGCTCGCCGCGGAGTTGACGGCTTTCCTTCGAGAGCACTGCGATCACCAAGGACAATGTGAAATTGGGCTTTATTGCCACCCAGGAATTAACTTACCGTCTTGGATCCTAGGGTAATGCTGTGAATGCTTGCATTTTTTTCCCTTTTTATAATATTTGCCTGTAGGGAGCGGTAAAGCAAGCTTTCATTTTTAAAAAAAAATATATATTTTTTTATATATTTTGGTAACAAAAATTTAATAAAGCAAACTATAGCTTCTGTGATTTTTGTTTGTTTATGCAGCAGAAATACTTGGTCGGTCTTTTCATTTACTACATTTTTTAAGTATTCTGTTGCTTAAATGTAGAGACATAGAAATCTTTCTTTAAGAAAAAAGCCTACAGTATTATAGCTTAAAACGTTTTGAAAAGCTGGTGCCAAAGTTTTTTGGCTCTTGAGCTCAGTGATCAAAAATACCTGAAACTATGTTCTTCGGGGTTATTTCATATGCATTTCAAAATATTATTGATGACTACTGTGTTTGCTATGCCTGTTTAAAATGTAGTTGATTTAACAAAATAAATATATATATAAACAAGAATATGCAGGGTTGGGTTTTTTATGTATATTCTTTTTGCTTTGCTAGCAAAAGAAGTAAAAATAATGAAAAAAAGTAATTGATGCTTTAAACTAAATCAGTTTACAGTTACATAGGAAAAAGCAATTATCTATGAAGCATTTTAAAGCAGGAAATAGAAATGTTGGTGATCTCAACACTAATGTTAACTCCACAGCTTTAAAAATCTTTCTTTTGTGGATTGATTATACTGTGTGTCCCTTAGATATATCTTATGATATAATATAGAATCCCTACATTATATCATATTTTCATAAGTTGATATGTACAGCAGTGGGATGGCCCATGTTAGCATTTTCTTATCGTCGTACTGACGACACATACAGACTAAAATGTACAGTAGCACAAAAATGTGCTAAATGAAGGGAGAAGCAAGGAAGGGAAGGATATAAAAGAAAATTTTGTAAAGATTTCCTTGAACCCGGTAGTGTGCTCGTGATACACCTGCTATTTGACATCTTTCCTGGTTTGGACAGAAGGGTGCTTAGGCATTTCAGAACTTTGTTTCTGAATGTGCCCAGGAGCATTCAGCCCTTCACAGTGTGGGTGACACTGCCAAAGTATTGAGTTCAGGGTTTTTGTGAAGGCTTTATCTACTGTATGGGCAGAAAAATGCAGAAAAATGCCTAGAAGGGGCTTACGTTATTATCCAGAGGATGGACCACTTGGAGCATTTCTCCCCCTAGGGAGTCTAAAACTTTGTTACTGCTCTTTAGTGAAGCTCTTGGTATGGGGATCTACCTTTGCTGTAGGTCAGATTTCTGCTTATGTGGAGTAGTACACCGCTCTAGGCTCAGTGAATCAAACCTTTGTGCTTGCCAAAAGGTAACCTGTGTTCCTGTCTGTGCTGGTGTGAATATTTCATTGCAGTAAAATAATACAAAATGAATTTTCTACAAGTGAAATATGCAAGAGACTCTGTTCTCTGCTCTTACATCTTCTGACTGTGCATTGTGCAGCTGAGTGTCTAAGCGTGTTGTTGTAGGATTCCCCATCCCTTCCTGGCTCAGGGGCTGTGTTAGAGTGAGTGCTGTTACTGTTAACCTTTTGGAAGCGCTGGGGAACCCTCTTGCTCATGAGGGTGAGGAGAGCCCAACGGCGGAGCAGGCTGCTCAGAGGCTGTGCAGCCTCCCTTCTTGGGGGTTTTAAAGACCTGAATGGATCAAGACCCAAGCCACTGGTCTGGCCTCGCAGCTAGCCCTGCTTGAGCACTGGGTTGGATGAGAGACCTCCTGGGATCCCTTCCAACCTGAGTTACCCTGTGTTCTTCTGAACTGTACAGGAGCAGCATTTCCTTTTGCTACGTGTGTGGGACCTAGCAAGGCATTTGATTCTTACAGATGTGGCTCCTAAGCAGTTACTTTTATATGCTCTATATGGTGAAGAGCTGACTTAGCTCTACGACTCAAGGTTATTGGTTCCAGTGCCTGTTCAATTGCCTTAACCTTGGTAGTGATGATGTGGAATGCTGCAGTTGTTAAGTCTTTGTTCTGGATCCCTTAATTGCAGCAGCAAACAATCACTCTCGCACATGGAGGAAATATCACTAATTGTTCATGGGCACTCAGGAGAAGAAAATGTAAGAAAGAAAAAAGAAATTTTAAGACTTATGTAAATTATTCCCATTTTAGTTGCCTGTTACGTATCTTTTGATTTTAAGGTGTTAATGAATTTGAGTAGTTGTTGTTATCAAATTGAGCCACTAGATGGAGTACCTAATCAGTGGTTGTAAACCAGTAAGGGCAAGAAGCACTGAGTTTAAAATGATGCTTAATATTAATTTGTTTATTTGCTTGGGAAGAAATTATAATATTTGCTCAGATCATCTTATGCTGGAATCTGTAAACTAGTCAGAACAGATTGATAGTTTATTCAGTGTGTAGGACCTGGGATTTTTAAGTATGCTTGTATATATTACGTGTGTGAATGAGCAGGTTTTATTTCTGTTTTTGGTCAATAGCAGAAGCTTTGATTGAAATCATTGTGCTATCACTGCTGGTGTTTCTTTTGTCATCACCAACCTTCTTGCCAGGAAGAATTTTGAATATTTGCATCTACTTTTGAGCTTTTTTCTTCCTGTAAAAGATCAGAGGGAAGAGTGTTAATAATGGGCCTCCTACTTTATTTATAGTAAAGTATTTAGAAGTTGTATTCTAACTGCATTTTCTAACTCTAGAAATTAACTGCAGTATAATATAAACCTTAGTGGAATTTTAAAGGATTTTCTTATCCTTAGAGTTTTCTTAGTTTATAAATACTTTTGCCTTGGTAGAATCCTTCAAGTTCCAGCTGCCTATTCTCCTGTGGATCCAGATGGACCGCCAGTCCTAAACACCTACTTCCTGAAGAAATGCAGTCTTCAATATATTCTTGTTGAGAATGACAAAATAAACGTAAGTGTTCAGACTTCTACAGGAAGCAATTATGTGCAATGTAGGAATGGGTATCTATTCAGACTTTATTCTGTCTAAGTTTGGACATGATGCCTTTGTTTCCTTATGACAAGAGGTTTTCTTCTTCCTTCAAATATAAACATTTTTACATTTAGAAGTACTGAGTGTTTCTCTCCCATTAAAGAAAAACAAAAAAAAGTAAATCCTATTACAGCAGACTTGTTGAACACTGGTGTTCAAAGACTTCTCCAGTCTTGTTTCCATATACATCAAGATTGGGAGTTGAAAGTCTTTGCAGCAGTTGAAAATAACTGCTTCATTTAATCTTTTGGTTTTCCTTTGTGCAACTCCTTCAAAATCTTTTTATCCACACATGTTGGAAAGGGAATAGACAAAACTGGACCCTCTAGTTCCAATTCAGAATGTTTTTTCTTTGTCTTCTGTGAAAATGTTTCATATTTTTTCCCATTCTTTTTATTATTTGCCAAGATAATTGTTTATTTCTCATTTATAAAGTATATTTTCATATTTAACATATAAAAGAGCATGGACTTTTTTAATGCTATCCTACGTGTGTCTTCTGAAAATGGACTCAGTAGAACAATAACATGATGTCCTGAGCTTTCCTGTTTAAATTAAATTATTTTCTCTTACAGAAATTCAAGATGTCCCATGAGGGTTGGTTTTATCACAACTCTTCCACAATAGAACATCTTGGTTTAACTCTTTTCCAGTTTAACCGAAGCAGGGCTGATAAAAGTTCCCAGCACTTCAAAGCTAGGGGTAACTTGCAGCCAGATTGTACTGTCTGTCCAGATCAACTTGAAGTAGAAACACTGAAAATGGGATACACGGACCCTGGCCAAAAACACGCTCTAGCATATGTCTTGCATACATCAGGAACTACAGGGACCCCCAAAATAGTTAGAGTGCCTCATAAATGTATCGTGCCAAATATTCAGCATCTTAAGTAAGTATAGCTTCTGTTTTTTTTTTCTTTCAGTGCTTTTGCTAACTAGGCCTTAAGGGGTTGTGGGTTTTTTGTTCGTTTTTGTGCAAGAGGGTATAATCCCCCAAAATTCAAGAGTCCTACTTAAGCATTAAAAATAAAATTTAGACAAGAAATTTTATATGACTACTTAGAAACAAAAAGAGGAAGGAAAGGCAGTGCAAGAGAAAGAAGTGAAACAGTGTTAGCAAAAACTAAAACTGTAGCTTTCTCAAGTACTTAGGTAGGACTCTTGAATTTTGGAGGACTGTACCCACCAAAATGTGATCGTATTGTAATTATTCTATTGTTGGTTTGCTGCTGCAAGGACAGTAACAAAATGCTTTTCTTTTTTTTATTTCCATTTATATTTATTTATCGTATTCTGAAGTTTTTCTCTTTGAATCCTACTTCCTTATCAGGATTCCTGGTTTTCTACTCCGTAGAAAGTCTGTATTCTAGGAAACAGTACTGGTTGGTTGGTTTGTTGTTCGTTTGAAATCTGATGTTGTACCAAATGAGGACCCATTAGTTGGAATATGCCCCAGAACCTAATACTTTGTGTATAACATGATGGATATCTTTTTTAAAGGACTTTGTTCAATCAGTGTCAATGGTCTTTATTCAGGAGCTCTTGCTCAGATTCTCTTCAAGGAATATGCCTAGTATGCCTATATAATCAGAGCAAAAGTGAGCTCCAGAAGTTCTTTCCTGCTTTTCTAGGTTGGAACTTTAAAAAAAAAAAAAAGCATCAGAATCAGAATTGTTATTCTTAGCTTTCTTATTCTAGATCCATACTTGAGATCACACAGGATGATAAACTGTTCCTGGCTTCTCCTCTAACATTTGACCCATCTGTGGTTGAAATGTTCGTTGCTCTGTCAAGCGGAGCCTGTCTTCTTATAGTGCCCAATGCCATTAAAATGATGCCTGTGGAGCTGTCTGCTGCTCTGTTTCATCAGCATCGTGTGACAGTGTTGCAGGTAGGTCACACACATGATGCATGTCTAATAATGTGCTAATTCCTCATCAGACCAGGCAGGAGTGCTGATGTTGAAGGAGTACTCCTGAAAGAGTAGCTCCTGCATTGTCCTTTTTGCTGTAGGATGTTAGCTTTATAGAAAATTACCACCTGATTGTGGTCTTGAGCATTTTGTGGCAGCAAACACTGAAGATAAAACCCTTAAGAATGTGTTACTACTTAATTAACAGACTAATGTAATTAATTCTTAATCTGCTAGCTCTGAATAATCTGGTAAGAAGGTTACTTTTTATAAATACTTCAGCACCTTATAATGGGCTTGATCTTAGAGCCTTTCATAATAGATAATTTTTCATTTTTAGAGGAATTTTGTCTGTACATACATACTGTACATACAACTGCTAAACAGTGCTATTATAGGTTAATAAAATGTTTTTCACTTTTACAGTAAATAGAGAAGGATAATGATTGAATCTCCCAAAACATTTTTTGTTGTTTTCAGGCCATCCTATGTGCCTATATGAGGCTTCATATTCCCCTTCTGTCTTGATATACATAATCTCCTGTATGTTCCCAATTTTAATATTTTTAAAGTTCATTTTTGAAAAATATACTTGAATTTGTGGGCATCCAGTGTGACTGCATAACCACCATCTCTTGTTTTGTTAGTGCTAAGAGGCATTTATTGAAGCTATTAATTAAGTGCAGAAGTCCTAGGGGAGGGGAAATCAGTAATAGTGTATGTCATTTGTAACTCACTTGGAGCAAAAAGACTATGATTTGGTTAGTTTGCTAACTGCAGTAGATCAATCTCTAAGTAATGCTTTGTCATTAATGTTGTAATTCTGAAATATTTGTATTCATAGAAATGTTAAAAATTTCTTTTCCTTTGGAGAAAGTCTGGTAGTTGTGATTGTAGGTTTTAAATTTAAGATTAGTGAATAGTTAGCTGAAGCTTCCACAGCAGAAAAAAACCTCCACTCTGAGTATTTTGATAACCTTATTTCCTAGTCTTATTTTATTATGATTGCTACAAATCTTGATGGTATAGATTTTCCTGTCATGTACAGGTTGATTGATCACTTTAGCTCATTTGGTGCTTTAAGTAAAACTATAAAAAGTATATATAAAGTACATATATATACATACATATATATATGTAGCATGTAGAATAACAGGTCAAAGCAGGATTTGGTCTTGAGAAAATATTCGAGGTATCTTCTTAAGAAAAATTTGGTTTTGTGATTTTTTTTTTGATCAGGGAAGGAAGGGTTGCTCAGCAGAATTAGAACTTAACTGATGGTGAATAATTTTATGGCAGTTTTTAGATTATAGGGATGCCTCACCTTTCCCTCTTAACTTGGTTGAGCAGACTGGGGGAAAAATGGTTAAGGGAGAGGGAAGAGTCCCCACCTTTTGTTACTTACTATAATTCACTAAAGTTAAAATGAACAATTGAAAGGTGATGGTTTTGATATGTTACAGAGAAAAATAACATGACAAGAAATAACTCATTTTTTTACTCATCTTACTAGATAAAATAATATTCATTTTACAGTAAAATATGACAAACTTCAGAAAACTGATCTTTGTAAATTATTGTATTTACCCAGGTCAGGAATGACCCAGTATCTGCTACCCTGTGGATCTTATAGAAAGATCTTTGTATGTATTATATTCAGATTAATTAAATGTATTTTAGCTGTTACATACTGGAGTGCATTTAAAAAAAAAAAAGCCCCAAGACAATGTCATGTTTACTGCTTTCTGTTTCTAAGGAATTAATATCTAAAGTGCATATGCTTTAGATAATGGCTGAGAACACAACATGGAACCTGTAATACAGATAAGTGAAGTATGAAAAGCAGCAGCAGGGCACAGATTTGTGCTAAAAATACAGGTGTCACAGTTTTCATTATAGGTTTCACTCTATTGCTAAAATCTCAGAAAACACCAGTGCTCTCCATTGTACTTGGATCTGATGGTTAATGGCATTAGCTGAATAGTGGATATGATAAGGAAGGAAGCAGGAACAGTCATATTTAATATACTGAAAAAATATAACAATTATTTCTTGCATCTTTTTCTTTTTAACATGTCATTCAGTCAACACCAACACTTCTAAGAAGGTTTGGAGCTCACATTATTAAATCGACTGTGTTGTCTGCAAATACTTCACTCCGTGTCTTAGCCCTTGGTGGTGAAGCATTTCCCGTACTGAATCTCTTGAAAAGTTGGAAGCACAAGGATAACAGAACAAGCATTTTTAATCTGTATGGTATTACTGAGGTGTCAAGCTGGGCCACTTGCTACAAGATTCCTGAAGAGGTTTTTAGTGCTGATTTTCGGTAGGAAACTTGACTGTTTTCACTTGTGTGGTATATGAGTTGATGAAATACAGTTTCACTAGAAATAGAACTACATTTCCTGGGCTGCTCAGACCTCCTAAGTGGTTTATGCTGGTTGAAGTTAAACTTGTTTTTTCCATTGAAGTAGACAAAGCCTCTTCTATTGCTATAAAACGGACCCCTCAAGCAGAAATTGTTGAATAATTCCTATACCACAGAACTGCAGGCTTACTGCACTCCAAAATGCTGTGTACTTGCAGACCACTTAAGTTTCACAGACTCTGTTGTGGCAGTTTCTGTTTGTCAGCCCTGCATCTAGACCTCTTCCTCGCTCCAGCCTGTGATTCCACATGCTGAACCTGGGTGTGCTGTCTCTGACTCCGTGGTATTGGAGCAGTGTTGGCTTCTGCAGGCTCTCAGCCATGTTGCTGGCAACTGCAGTTAGTATTTTATGAGAAAGGTTCCAAGTGCCAAGGCCCTGAGAGGTGCTTCCAGTCATCTCATGGTTTCATTTGTTCTCTGAAATGTGTGCTTATTCTGTGGCATGATGGTTAACATGGGTCACTTGAGTTAGATGCATCATAGGAATTGAAAGGTTTTTGGGCAAACAGTGTGTGGTATTTAAACCATTGAAAACTGATAATGATGGATTGACAAATTCTCATACAAAAGTTTAGTAAGTTGATAAGGAGTTTTACTTAATGATGCAGCATGACTGTTGTTAGGCATCTGTTCTACAGACACTGTGAGATCTTTTACAGCACTGAAATTTTTTCACTCTAGATCTAGTTTTATTCTGGTTTCTCTGAATTCAAACACTGTGTTCTCCTCAGTGAAATTACTATTATCATTTTCTCTTCAAAGTTCGTACTATCCAGAGATAGTATGTTGTTCTTCAGTTCAAACTGAAAATAGTGTGTTGGAAATCTTTGAAGTCTGACGCTGATGTTTTCTCCTCAATTTAAGAGCCCATTTCCTCCAAGTGTCATTGCAAAAGGTTATTGCAAAAGGTTATTTATTGGTAAAAATCATGGTTCCTTTGCAATAAATGTCCCGGATAGACTATTCAGTACTATCTCAGTTTTGTTTTATCTTGATCACCTGGTTTTGGTGGGACAATTGGCATACATTTGGCTTTATTTTCTTAAGCAAAATGATGAAAACTGATCCAGCTTCCAGAGATCACTAGAAAAACAAAAAGTAAGCAGAAAATAAGTGTTAGTGGTCTGTCCCTCCGTTTTCCAGATGTTTGGCAAAATTAAATGTCTAATCTAAAATCTCTTAATAATAATGTACTAAATGATCCAAATGAGGTGCTGCTTTCTTTTTTTTATTTTTGCTGTTTTATAATTTATGTGGCAAGTTTATTTTGTTTTTCTGGAGATGGTAAATTTTCCTTTTTTTTTCTTGTCTTTTCTGTTGGGGCTTTCTCATGACATGGAGTAGATATTGCATATTTGGTATGCTTTATTTTGCTTGCTAAGTTAATTATCTTCTGAACCCAGCTAAAGGAAAGAGGAGGAGGAGATGATTCTCACTTGGCAAAAATACATATTTTACATTTTTTTTTTTTTTGTATATGAGAGGAAGAGTTGGTTGATAGAGAAAAGAAGTTTCAACAACCTAAAAAAGAGGAATAGCACAGGAACTGTTAGGTTAAAGTATGTGACTTCTGTGGTAGTTAGTGAGCTGGAGCCCCATACCTGACTTCAGACATTGCCAGAGTTATTGGAGATTACCTACCTGTTTAAGTTTTGCTTTACTCAAGACAACATGTTACACTATATTCTCGCTCAGAAGTAGTGTCTGTAATTATAATGTTCTGTGAATGCTTGCAGAAGCTGGAGAATGAGGGAGAAAGGAGGGAGCTGGAGCTGGTCTGCAGCTCAACAAAAGAAGTCTATGGAAATATGACATTGAAATTATTCTCTCTTTCATATAAGTCTTTTAAAAAGTCACCCGAACTCAGGTAGTGAAACATCAAGAGATAAAATAAAAGCTCAGAGAAGGATACAGAAACAATGAATTTGAAGTAATTTAGGTGTGTTTAAATTCTTTGGTGTTGATAATGTTCAACCTGGGACAGCAAAAAAATGAAATGCTCAGGTTACTCTTGCTGTTTCTGGGCCCATTGTAGCCTTATTTTCTATCGTTCTGTTTTGTTCTTGTTTGGTTTCTTTGGATGTGTGTTAATAATTAACTTGTGCCCACTGATGAAGTTGTTCATTTTCTCTACTTAGAGCATTTTCTTAAGAAGAAACATTGGTAAAACAAGTCCTAAGTACCTAGTGCTCTAACACTGATCTTTTACAAGATTTTGCTCATTTCTGAAGCAGTTCTGTGTGCAAAAGGGAAAAATTTTTACTGTCTCTCTCTCTAATGTGTTTAGAAGTGATTTTCCTGTACCTTTGGGTTCACCGCTCCTTGGAACAGCAGTTGAGGTCAGAGATACCAGTGGTTCTGCAATTCTAGAAGGCGAAGGACAAATATTTATAGGTTATGTTATATTTGTTTTTTTTTAATGCTTTTCTTTCTTCATTGGTTTTTAATAATACATTAATTATTTTACTTTTTATCTCTCTCTGATGTACAGGATATGGCAGTGTGAGGTTCCATTGGGCTGGGAACGTGCTCATAGTGTTTTAGGTTGTTGGAATGATGAACCAGAAGTTACTGTCATTTTCTCCACAGATTGTTTTCATTATAATGTTTTTTTCTTGTATTTTGACACTTTCAGTAGTTATTTTTTATATATTAACTAAATTAACTGCATATCTCAATTTACATGTTTTAGAAGGCATTGGTGACAATCACTTAATTATTTTTGATAATACTTGTTAGAATTTGTTAGAATTTGATAAATTACTCAGTATTTTCTTCATAATTTCAAAGGTGCACTATTTAATATATGTGACAGCAGGCTTTTCTTTTGTAGGTGGTGAAGAACGAATCTGTTTTCTTGATGGTGAAATAACTGTACCCTTGGGCACGATGAGAGAAACGGGGGATTTTGTAAGAGTGCAAGATGCAAAGATGATCTTCCTGGGTCGGAAAGACAATCAGATTAAACGCCATGGGAAACGCTTTAATATTGAGTATTTACAGCAGGTAATACCGCATTTCTTGAGTAGAGTGTGCCATTAACCATTAAAGAAGAGCAGAGTTAAGGAGTACATCAGAAATCTGTATTTACTCCATTTCAGATGACTTTCAGGAGTCTTAAAGAAAATCAAGTATCTAGTTCAGTATCTTAGGTACATAAGAGAAAGGAATTTTTTTTTTTTTTTTTGGAAACATGTTTTTTCTATAGTTTGTTCCAGTAGAAGTGAGAAACTGTATAAATACCTGAAAAATACTAAAGAATTATTCACTAGGGCTTGCATAGTAAAAAGGCTCTGAGACTCCTAGATTATATCTCATTTGTGACATTCAGGCAAACAAATCTCTCAGTTCACTTTTATACAAATAGGCACAAACTTTGGCTATGAGAGAGTACTGTGACAGATCTGTAAAATACCAGAAGGGACCACAAACCAGTATTGAGATGGTTGATAGCAAAGAGCTGTGCAAAGACTTGCTGTCAGCTCAAGAAAATCTGAAATGAAAGGTTATTATGGGTTAACACAAAACATTATTTTCAGAAAATACAGTGAATCATAAATTGTGGGAGGAATTCAAGGCCTCGGAATAAATATCCTAGATGGATTTCCTTTTTTAATTTTTAAGCATTTCTTTTTTATCAGAACACAATGTGTCATGTTTTAAAAACAAAATAATTATTACTAGGTTTGTTTTCCTTTTAAACATTGCAGTTTTGAAATACTGATATAAGCAATTTAAAAATTCATGATTAGAAATTAATTATGCTTTTTTTATATATATATTGTCAAGCTTACTTTTCCAAAAGATTTTCCAGAGGAAAAAAAAGAGTTCAGGTTTTCAGAAAAGAATCATGATCTTGTAGAGAGTGAGTTTTTCAGGTGCAGGCCGGGGCCTACAAAGGTTGTTTAGTGTGAGAAGATAATGTCCTATTTTAGGCTCTCTTGATAGTAAGCACAATTCTTTGTGGTGTGGATTTAGCATGAAAGCTGCTCTTGACTTGTATTCAGACAGGTGATTTGTGAATTTTAAAATGTAGTAACTAAAGTTTTCATCCAGTCTGTCCTTCTGGTGAAGTATTTCTAGCAAAGATATTCTTTTGGAGAAGCAGTTTTAGCCAAGTTCTTAGGAAATTAATAGCTGTTCTGCCTTCCATAATGATTTTGTGAAAAATAACTTTCTTTTTTTTCTGGGTGCTGCTAGTTCAGGCAGCTCTTGCATTTTATAAGCTCTTGCAAATTATCAAATGAATCAGATCATTTAATCATTTCATTGCATTCAGTCAGGTGGTATTATTGTAACAGAAGACCGAGTTTGTTGTGGGGGGGTCCTTTCTTTTTTTCCTCCCTCTTTTTAAACTATTTTTGTAAGATCTATTATGATTTAATTGCAAGTGCTTATCCTCAAATTTTTCTCTTGGGTCACATAGACGTATTGATACGTTTTGAGGATCTGGTTTAAACATGTATAACAATTTTTTTAAATTATCTTTTGTTTTGACTACTAATTGTTTAGATTTCATTAAAGCTATTCTTACTATGGTAGCATGTAATGAGATGGGATTTGGACTACATCATTTAAGACAGAGGTAGGGTGTAGCCAGGATATAGTAATGTACAAACCTGATACTGCTTCTGTTAAGAATTAGTGGTTTCAGTAGTAGTTAGAAGTATTTCGGTGACTGTGTTCTGCATCCTTATTGACAATTCGGGCAAAGAAGCGTTTCCTCGTGTGTTATTTTTTTCTCAAGACACAGGTATTTAGATAACTGAAAAGTCTGCTTTGCTGAGTGCTGTACTGCTTTTGCTTAATGGTAAATTCATTCTTCAGTGTCTTACATTGAACGTTGCTGTTTAAATTAACATAAGTGAAATATCTAGTAAACATATGTATTTATAGGGTGTTATGTAGGAAGATGAAACATACAAATTTATGGATTTTACTCCTTTTGCTGTATTACTGAACTGCATTTCAAAACAAGTAAAACTAATATTTTGAATTACAGACTGCTGAAGATCTTTGTCAGGTAGAAGCTTGTGCAGTGACCTGGTATCAGGCAAAAACTGATCTTGTTTGTTGTACCCAAAGATGGTTTCAAAGAGAGAGAAGCTCTTAAAGAACTTCAGAAGCATCTACCAACTCATGCAATCCCTGATGACCTTGTACTGATTAAAGCTTTGCCTTTAACATCACATGGTAAATGAAACTGTAATTATCTTTGCAGCTTACTTTAATCATCTTTTTTCCCTTTTTTTTTTAATTGACCAAAATGCAGATCCATGTTTTTTAAATACATAGTTCAGACAACTCATTCTTTATAGGAAATATCAGTATAGGCAGACAGCTGTATTTGGAAACATGTAAATATGCCCGATGTGTTGCATCACCTACATACATGTATGTTTGCTTGGTAATGTTTTATTTGAGATACAAAGAGCAGGAATAAAATCCATTTAAGTATTAAAACTGCATATCTATTTTCCCAGCAGCTCCTGTTAGGGTCTGTGACAGAGTCCCGACTTTGCTTGGGAAAAGATCAGGCACTGTGTGGGGGATTATGTGGGAGGCTAGATTAAATTTTCAAAAATCTAACTGTGTTTTGAGGGGCATGGTTGATTCATAGGATAAAGGGATACAGGTAGAATTTCACCTATGAATAAGGAAGCCTGGGCAAAGCTAAGGTGTCTGATTGGGCAAAGCAAGTTCTGGAAGTGTAAATGGTAAAGAGCAATGACAAAAATAATGTTTTATTTTCCACAAAGGCAAAGTCGATCTGTCTGAGCTGAACAAGATTTACCAGAGCCATCTAAACTGCCGAAGACATGACAGTAAGCTGAGAGGCGCAGAAGAATTGTGGGAGAAATTGCAGTATTTATGGAAGGTGGTATTTTGAGCTGCCTTTTTATCTTTGCAAGAAGATCTTTATAAGTGTGTCAGGAATTAAACAGTTTTAAGAACTGTGACTAATGCAACCAGAACATTCTCTCTGTCTATGTGTTTGAGTATTATAGCTCTGTCTATTCAGTCAATACTTGAATACAGCTGCTCTGTGACAGCCATGAGGGAATCATATTTTTTATGAGATAAAATTGTGGACACTGACGGTACATGCAATTAGCATAGCAAGGACATAATTTGTCAGAAGATTTTTCAGTGCAACTTCACATGCAAAATAAAGTATCTCTAAGGGAAACAAGCAATTGGGACATGCAGATTTTCTAAACAAACCCAGCTACTATGTTACCAGAATTTCTTATTTCTGTAGATAACTGAATTGGGAAGGCTCTCCCTATTTTCTTTTTTCGCATGGATGGCACAGTTTCATTATTGTGTCTTGGACTTTGTGGTTCTCTTGTTTCTTAATTCCTGTGCTAAAGACTTGTTTTAGATACGGAGGAGTGCAGAAACCCCCTTAGAGATCTTGTCAGTAATAAATGGGATTGAGTTTGGAAAAGGCTGACAAAGCCACAGCGCAATCTGTTTAATTCCTTAAACAGCAGAATTGGAATTGAGTTTAAAAAAAAAAAAAAAGGATTATTGAACAAAATCTTCCGTTGGTGCTAAAACATTTCGTGCGATTTTTGTGGAGTGATAAATTTGATCAATTTCTGCTGACTTAAGTGATAGTTAATAGGCTATTCAGCTGGATTTCACCCAAGTTCATTTTTTTGTCTGTGTGCTGTTGTTTACCATCCATGAACTGTTTTGTCTTTACTCCTTCTCCCTTCTAGTCTGTTCTGGGTTTCCTCGATGATTCCAGAGAAATTTCTAAAGATTCAGTATTTCTCTACAGTGGTGGAGACTCCTTAAAGGCTCTAAGATTTTATGAAGAAATTGAGATTCTAGTAGGCAGAGCTGTTCCTGCACTCCTCGAAGTTATTCTAAGCTGCTCATTTGAAGAGGTTTACAAGCATATTCTAAAAGCTTTGTTTCCAAGTGAAGACCAATTAATGAACTGTGACAATGCTGCAAAAAGAAAATTAAGTAAAGACAGTTCAGAGGAATTCAATGGAAAGTACATTAAACTGAAATCTGAGAGACACTTTGCAGTTGCTCCCGGGATAGTTCCATTTGTTGCATTGAGCCGAGGAAATCGGTTGTTTTCTATGAATTCTTCCAAGTCCTTTACACAACCCAATGATGTGGCACAGGTCGGAATGGAAGCGAGACAACAGCCATCCTTTCTGCAGTTACTGTCACCAGGTGTAAGCAAAAGCCAAGAGCAAGAGAGTGAAATGGAGAAGAGCAGAAGTTTACCAGTTACCAGCAAGGCACATAAAACAGATTGTTGTTCTGCTCAGCCACGCTCTGCAGAGTGCAGTCCCGGAGCAGCGGCTGGGTTGGCCTTACGTGTAAGATGGAAGGCCAGTACAGGCAGATGTGTGGATGCATCGCCCTTGCTCGTGATTCCGCTTGCAGACGAAGCGTCTGCCTCCGTCTATGTCGGCTCCCACTCGCATACACTGCAGGCGATTGAGCTAGATAGGGGAGAAATAAAGTGGGAGAGGAACCTTGGAGATCGTATTGAATCTTCTGCCTGTGTATCTACGTGTGGAAATTTCATTGTTGTTGGTAGGTCTTTTGTTTTAGCCTTTGTTGAAAATTATTTTCTCTGCTAAATGTAATATGAATGACAGAGAATCTTACTTCCCTTTTGGATGACATGCTCTTACACTTGCTGATAAACTCTGTGGTCTGCCTCAAAACTGATTTGCCATGAACCAGAGACAGAATAAAGTAAATTTAAGTTTGATGATAATGAATAAAGCGGCTTATTTAACATATTGTATTTTTTCACTTATTATATACCAGTTTATTAGTAGGGCCTTGTTAAGGAGGGTTAGTTAGAATGTGGCCATTAAGTTGCTATTTAGAAGTGTGGAAAGGTAATACAGTTTTTAAAAACCTATGAACTAAAAACATTCCTTTATATAAAATTGACAGAAGTAGAAATTAGTACATGGTGCTTCAGATAAGTGAACCCTTTGAAAAATAATCTCTTTTGACCCTCTTGCATGCAATCTGCCATTGTATGTGAGTTTTAATCTCTGTAGGCTTTTTGCTATTTGCAGCACTGACTTTTTGTCAGTTGACCACTATATTCCATTTTTTGTCATCTCTATGGTCACCAGAGTTGTCATTATTCTTTTTGATGTTACCTTTTTAAGTAATATGTATGCATTAACTGATCAGCACGGCTATCTAGGTCATGAGTTTTCTTATGCAAAGTAAGCATAAATACTGTATTTTGACTAGTTTTTAGATTGCTATTTACTGCGATAAGAAATCTGAATTAATGTTCTGTTGTGACCTCAGGAGCCTGTACAACTACAGCTCAGATTCTTTAGAAAATACACAGGCTTTATTTTCTTGGTGGCTTTGTTTCCATAAACGTAAATTGGGGGGAGAGAGAATTTAAAAAATGAGCAAACCCTGCATCTTCTAATACTATCACTGTGAAAAGTAGCAGAAATCCAGAGAAATAAGCATACTTCAAATGTAACCTGGAAAGAACTCAGTGAACAGTTTTTTGAATGTATGAACCATCAGCAAAGACTCTGAACTAAAAAAGGAAAAGCTTTGGAAACTGTTTAGGGACTGAACCTCATGAATCATCTTATTTCTTGCCAGCAGTGATGCAGCTAACAGTGTAAGTACAAATATTTTCTCCCATTTTGTGTTACTTCAACAGGCTGTTACGCCGGGTTAGTGCATGTGCTGCGACGCAGCAGTGGTGACGTGCACTGGACCTTTGCCACAGGGGATGCTGTGAAAAGCTCTGCGGTCCCAGATCCTTCCAGCGGCCTAGTCTACGTGGGATCGCATGACCAACACGTGTATGCTCTGGAGATCTACGTAAGGACACTGACTAACCTTTAGGCACAGAAGAGTGTGTATCTGGATGGAGCTCCATTGGTTTTAGTCATCTCAGGAATCCAGTCTCAAGCTTTGAGAAGTTAGGCCTGCATGGAGTGCATTAGGGTTACGTGGTGGTAAATGGTTGTAGGGGTGGTCTCAGCCATGGCTCTTCTGCTGCCTGTTCTTTTTTAAACTGCCCCTTGAGTTTCTCTATTACTGTTACATGTGGGTGTTTCAGAATAGGCTGGCTATGGCTCCATGGTGGAAAGAGAATCTCACATTTTAAAAGACTAGATGGTTATCATTATAAGCTTGTTGGCTCGTAAGTTCATTGGCTTAATTTCTTGTAATTGTTGGGGAAGAAACTAGCCAAAGATATATGTGTTGATAAAACAGATTGAGAGTTTTGTCTTCCCTTGTAACTACTGTTTGCTGAGTAAATTTCTGTTTGATAAACTTTGCAAACTCTTTGAGCTTTAATTGCATTTGTAAAATCTTTTATTTATCTTTTTCCCTGTGCTCACAGAAAAAGACTTGTATATGGAAGACCCATTGTGAAGGTGGAGCTGTGTTTTCTTCTCCCTGCCTAAGTTTTTTTCCATATCATCTTTATGTTGCCACATTAGGAGGATTGCTGTTGGCTATAAACCCTGTATGTACCTTTGCCTACTTGTCACAATCTCAAATTCATTTTAAGCCAAAATGCATTTCTGAAATTAACAGCACTTTCCTGATTAAGAAAATGAGACAATCGTTTTCTAACGTAAGGTCTTTTTCACTTAATGTCATGTTATTACACACTATAATTACACACCATATCAGTTTAATAATTCCTGTATTTCAGAATACAGAAAAAAATACTAATAAAAACAATAGTCACTTGGAACAGATATTTGCAGTTCCTCAGCTCATACAACCATGACCACCAGTCCTTACCATCATCACCTCCCACTCCCTACCCCTTTCCTCAGTAGTACCCAGTCCAGTGCTAGAACAAAACTAAGCAGGGGGCCTGCAGTTAGAAAACTCATGTTTTCTTATTCCAGGTGAGTGTTTCTAACAGTTAAGAAGTGCTAACTTTGTTAGGGGCTTTTTGGGATTATCGTAGTTTGTAGATTGCAGCATTTCCTGTAGCATTTGTGACACATGATGTGCACAATTAATATGACTTTCACAATATCCTCTCCTTCATGTGCTGTCTTCACTTCTGAGGAGATTCTTCAGCTGATAAAACTGAAAATGAAGCTGTCTCTCTTAAAATTGCATATTAACTTGGAAAGTGGGTGTTTTGTTCATTTGTTTGGCTTTTTTGTGGGGAGAGGAGAAGGGTGGAATAAAGACATGAGTATCTCAGGGAACACTCTAAACATTTTGTTGGAGTAACACATGAAGAGTTTCTGTTTTGCATGCTGGATCGGTGAAACATGAGGGCTTTTGTTTGTTTATTTGTTTTTGGGGGGGAGGTTCCCAAGGGCTGGGTGAAGCTGTGGTGAAGGACTGTGTAGCTTCCTGGGAGTTAAACATGGGATATTCCATGCTGTCATTCACAGGCTACAGGAAACAAGACTTGGAAAAGCTCCCTGGGAAAACCCCTCTTCTCCTCACCTCACAGCAATGAAAAGTATGTTTATGTTGGATGTGTGGATGGAAACTTATATTGTTTGACTCATTCTGGAGAAAAGGTAAAAGTCACCACTTGGTGTTTTTTCTTACGCTCACCACAAAACTCTGGATAAGATACTTCATTAATACTGTTTTCTGAGACTCAGTGATGAAAATATTTTCCTATTTGCACCATTCTGTGAATCAAACACAGCTGTAGGTATTTATTTTTGTAGAGAGATTTTTTTTTAGCTGTTTTTTTGCAGAAAGCCTCAAGAGATTGCCCATGCCCAAAGTAAATGTTCAAGACTAGTGCCAACAGATAAAAATTTGTTTTTTTTCAGATTTCTCAAAAATGTTTGAAAGCATCTCTAAAATGGTGGCTCTTTATAGCTTTTGCTAGAATACTTCTCCATTTATGAAATATGCCATGGCAGAGATGTGCCAAATCATAATTCTGGCAAAACATGTGCCAGCCATCACCTTGAATTAAATGACCCTTTTTCATTAGTTCCTCACAGATGAATGAGCTTTGTGTTTGTAGTTACAACAACTGGAACTGGTTTCTGTTTGCCTGAGCTGCACTGCACAGGGTAATGCCAAAGCCTTTTCTGAATTCAAAATGCCCTGTCCCTGGCCTGCCCTCGGGCTGCGAGACGGCGCCTGCACAGGAGGGGCGGCCTGAGAGGAAGGTGTCCTGCTCGAGAGCAGCCTCTGCCTTGGCTGACAGCCTAATGGCCCAAAGGCCACTGCCACCTCTGCTCTGTTAGCCCCAGAATATTTCTTTTTCCAAGGAGAGCCACACAAGAAGGTGCTAACTCTTGCACAACAATTTTATGAGTCTTCTTATGCTAATTCTTTACTGGATGCATAAAGCTTAATTTGTAATGTCACAGATATTCCTAGTGAAATCCAGGATGCTCTTGAAACAGGGTGCTGTCCGGTCAACCACTTGTCTGTTAAAAAATTACAGTTGCTGTTAGACCAATGATGTCTGCACTAATGGATGGTTATGTTTGGTCTGTAGGTTTGGCAGTTTTCCACCAATGGACCAGTGTTTTCATCTCCATGCATCTCAAGTTTAACTAAGCAAGAAGTATTTTTTGGCTCTCATGACTGCTTTATCTACTCCTGCAATATGGAGGGTAATTTACTGTGGAAATTTGAAGCCACTTCAAGTGTATACGGAACACCATTTGTTTTCCAAAGTGATGACTTAACGAACAAAATTCTTTTGGCAGCAGTATCTACAGATGGCAAAGTGTGGATCCTGAATGCCAAGAGTGGAACAGTAGAAGGAGCAGATAAGCTCCCAGGAGAGATTTTCTCTTCCCCTGTAGTATGGGGAACAAAGCTTGTTGTTGGCTGTAGAAATGATTATGTTTATTGCCTAGATTTGTATACAACAGGAAAAAAGAACAGCTAAAATGTTAGGCTGCTTCTGTTTTATTGTTTACATTTGTAAATTAAGAACTCAGAGGTTCTGTTTACCTCTCTGCCTCTCTGTCAGTGATGGAGGCTCTTTGCTCTTCTCGGATAGCATTTGTACCAAGTAGGTATAAAAAAAATGTCCAGGATTTTTTCCAGTAGGAAAAGTGATGTTTACTGACTTGCTGTGCTGACTGAAGGAATACATACAAATTCCCTGCTGCTCGGCAGCGCCCCCCGCCCCCCCTCACGTGTAAGTTCGGCTTCACGCAAGTCCCGGTGTTTCCGATGCCTTGGAGTTTAAGGTTTTGCCTTGAACTGTGTAGCAGGGAAACAGAAGCCAGTCCAGCTGACTTCCAACACTTGGAGAATGGTGAGAGGCTGTAGGAAGGTGCCACGCTCCGCACTTTGGAAGAGAGACATTTACTCGGTTCCACGACGCCAGCCTCGCCTGCACCCTGAGGTGCCTCTGCTCCAGCGCCCGGCTCTGCGCCGCCCTCCCGCTCGGTGGGTGCCTGCTCCAAGCGTGGATTGCTGCTCTGTAGCAAGGTGACCAAGTCCATTGTTGAATCCAACTTTTAAGTTGACTTCTGAGACCATAGCCTGTGCCTGCACATGTTTCGGGGTGATGGTTATCGTTTGTGTACAGTTTGCATAAACAAAGAGATTCATCTTTTGGCTCTCTTGGCACCCATCCACCCAAGCAGACACCTGCAGTGAGCTGAAGACAGTAGGAGCTACTTATGGTATTCTCAGGTGGAGGGATACTTACATGGGAATACCTACTAGACTTCAAAGACAGTTACAGAGCGAGGCCAAGGTGAAGTGTATAGTGCTCAAATCAAACCTCATTCAAGTCATTTGTGAAGAAATTCATATTCTACAAGGTCTTCATGGAGAACTTCACTAAGTGTTCTGCAAGCTGCTTGTCGTCTTTAACATCTTAGTAAGAATGATGGTAATGCTTGTTAATGATAAAGCAAGAATACCCTTAACTCTAAGCATCATCCTCATCTCAAAAGTCTTTAAAAATCTGGTAGAAACTATTTTATCACCCCTTTGATGGGCCATCTGCTTTGAATTTTAAAATCTTGAATAAATAGTAAATGGGCTGTGTTGATTCATCATGTCTTGTTATGCACTTTTACTGTTAGTGGAAAGGCACTGGCAAGATGTTTTGTAGAAATAAAGTTCTATTTATAAAGTTAAACTGAACTGTACTGCTAACAAATGGAGACACTGAACACATACATCATTAATTTGATAATTTTTGACTGGGTTATAGTTTAATAAGAATTAAAATGACATTAGTATAATAAACAATTGCACTTTAAAACGTTTTAAAAATTAAAAAAGTACACAACAAATACCCCACAATTTTACATCTTATGTTTTTTATACATTACTATATGAACATAGAGGTTAATCATATATAACCTTGTCAGAAGAAATGGTATTTTGTGTGTATAAGTTACAAAAAGTTGAGACAATATACTACATAGTGGTTTGTTCAGTTCTTAAAACATTTTTGCTATTTCAAAGTCAGTAGTAATGATTTTTTACAGATTTCCACCACTTGTATCAGACATGGTTGCAAAGCTAAAGCAAAGTAACACTTCATTGGTATTTAGTGCAAATTTGCGTTAATTGAACATGAAATGTCACTGCTGAACATGTACACCCTAGAAATGCTTCCACCACGCACTGTGCGTAATACAGTTTCCATCGTCACACTAGATACCCTGACGCTTGAAGAAACTCTGCTTTGAAGCTTTAGATTAAGACCATTCTTCATGAAAGCTCTATTCTATGTGATATAAGTAAGTGTATTGTATCAGAAAATTGTTTCATAATGTCATGCACAATAGCACCTAATTATGCTATGCTGTTCAGAATACCAGTGCCTCTCTTTAGTTTCCTTAATCCTGACTCATTTCACCTTCTCCATATTTCTGCCTGGCTCTTTTCCCCCACCGCCACCCAAATAATGCTGGAGATGGATTTCAGGCAGGTTAGGTCTTGTAATTACAAGTCCATAGTGCAGGCTTGTAAACTCAGATAAAGTATAAATTTAACTTAAGAAGCACTAAGTCTTTGTGCTAGCAGAACAAAAAGGATGATGGGTCCAACTCCTCCTTCAGGTACATTTGCAGAGATTTTACTTTGAAGGTGTTAAGCACTTCTTTTTTCAAGTATCTGAGAGCAGCATTGCCCCTACTGTATAAAAACTTTAAAACATGTATTTACATTAAGGGGAAAAGTAGATATTTTAGAGAATCTGATTTTAAATACAAAACTTCTCTCAAAAATGACCACTTTAAGAGAGCCAAGAATAAATGAGCTTGTTAGTGCCCCGTGCCCTGTGTGGCTGTGCTGGTGTAAGCGGGACCTTTCCCACGCGGTAGCAAAGAGCCAGCCCTACTTCAGCTTTTGCTCACAGGCCCTTTTTGCATTCTGGGAATGGGAGGATATTGCACATTCAATTCGGTTTTCTCCATAATTTAAAGGGGTTTTCCTCATGCTCCATGCAGCAATATTTGGCTAAAACGTTTCCATAAAACCCATGTGGTAACAGTTCATAATGATACGATTTCTTCTCCTTAAATTATCTCCCTTTGTAGTGTTGTAGACTTTGAGTCCTCCAAGCTGTGTGGTTACAGGAGGGACATTCAAATTCATTAAAGACATCCCTGTAAAATTCAAACTTGGGTGTGTTAAGGATTTAGTTGCTAGGGAAGCTTTTTAAAGCATAGCTATCTCTGGCTGTTAAAGATAGTAAAACTGTCATTGCATGACGGACTTTATCCTTTCTGTAAGGGGGAGGGAGTGAACACTCCTATTTCAGTCACAGGGGTATTGAAGCGTTCAGCTGAGCTGGGGTCAGTAACTGCCTTCGGGAGGGTTCAGCTCTGCTGGTCCCGAAGCAGCAGCGACCACGAGTCGAAGCTGCCGAGGCTCCCGCACAGCTCAGGAGCCAGCGCTGCAGTCCTGTCCTGGGGGAGGGCCCTGAGACTGATCCTGCGAGGACACGAGCACGGAAATAGTCCTGCTCATTTCAGTCCAGACAATTGCTTTAACGTTCTCATCTGTAATTACTGGCTCTACACACCTTAATAGGGCTGAGCAACTCATGCACTCAGAGGACTAGGAGAAACTGTCTGCCCCGGCTTCTTTCTGGAAACTTTTGGAGGTTTGTTTAAATAGTAATTTTTGTTAGGTAGAGAGAATTATTTTCTTCCTAAAAATGAGGGAGTACAGCCCTACTGTATTAAACCTAGGACAAAATAAATCAGGTAATTTCTTGGATTTGGATGCTACCATTTTCTTTCTTAGCATTTGCAAGTGGAAAGAGGTCTCCTGAAGTTCTTCATTAAGGAAGAAGCTCTCAACTAGCAAGTAGAACTAACAGTTGATACAGCTTAACAATTAAGAAAATAAATTAGGAATAAAAGAAGGGAGCATGCATCTTGCATTACTTGTCAACAACAGAGTTTTGAAAAGCTTTTCCAAGATCTCCACTTTATGGGTAGAGACTGAAAGTTCCAGAGCCAAATACTCACAGAATTTAAGGAGCTTCTGAGCAGAAGTTCTGGCCCTTACTATTAGAATGGCTAAAATTTACACCTAATATCTGAGCAGTCTTAAATTTTTTAGAGTTTGGCTCTAAAATAATTTGCCTTGACCTCCTTTAGCTACTTGTCAAAGAAATGGAATATATGGTTTGACTAGACTTTACAGTGAGCTAGAGCAAAATGGTCATCAGGTTTCAGTCCTTCACTACATGCAGGTCGGTGTTGCCATGTGCAAGAAGCTGAATAAACGAAACGAGACCCGTCACCAGCCGCCTGGAGCCGCGGCGGCCGAGTTTACTTGATGATCTGCGGACAGTCACTCCAGGCTTTCGCTTTCCTCTTGGCCAGCGCCAGCCAGGCTGGCTCCGTTGACACCGGGTTGGCTTCGGGCGTCGAGAATCTCTTGGCCACCTCCTTTGCCAGCGGGGTCGAGGGAACAGAATCTGAAATCTCCACTGGTTTTTCATGCAGGAGGGGGAGAAAACAAACATTAGCTGCACACTGTGCTGTGCTGCAGACTTCTAGAGAAAGCGGTATTTTCCTGTGAAGCGCTAATGCTTCATACTAATTTCCAACCCTTTTAAGTTAAATCTCGTCTTTGATTCTGTTCTCAAAAAAAAAAAAATGCAGTTAGCTGTCTTGTTATAGGAATGTGATGAATAAAAATATCTGGCTTCTCCGAAACTTTATGAGCAGAACTGGAGATAGATACTGTAGGAGTCAGAGAGGAAGATTATTTCATTCTGAGGCAGTGGAGGCCATTGAAGGCAACTTGAGGCCTAGAGAATTTACTCTAAAATATTTAATTGCAAAAATACATGGTCCAGTTTCTTTTATGCATCAAAGAACTTTTAAGTGTTCAGATTCAGACAAACTATTTTTAGTTGCATTTTGCAGACTTTGAATGCTTTATAAAGTTTTAATCTTTCATGGATCATGGAAATCATTTTTTTTCTTTTTAGTACAACTTTAATGACTTATTTTTAGCTGCAAGGAGCAAATGAAGAACAACAGCAACTGTTGCTGTGAACAACCACTTGCTGTTGAAAAAGGCTCTACCTTCTTACTTGTTCCTGTTGTACGAGGCTGGGCTGCAAGTCTGAAAGGCACCAACTTTTCTCCTGGGCCTGGGGTCTTGTTTGAGCTTTTTTTGTCCTTAGAGTAGGGCTTAACAAACCTGCTTATGTTCATCAAGCCCTAGCCCTAACTGTAGGAGACTAAATCAACGTTTCCATCCACAAGAAACATACCCTTGTGTGTGTTGTATTTGTGCAGTTTTCAAATAAAACACAAGTACCGAGGGGCAGCTACGCTGTAGACACGGCTGCAGAAACGAGCAACGCCCGGCACGAGCCGAGCGGCTGCGCGCGGGCTGGAGGGGCCCGCACCGCTCTGTAGCGGCGTTTCAGCCTTTCCTCCGGGGGAGCCGCGAGGTGAGGGACTTGCCTCATCCCTTGCACTGCTTACGCTCCCTAACTCTCCGCTTGCAGCGGTACCTCCAGATTCAGCTGATGCCTGTTTTTGTTGTCATGGAAGCCCAAAGGGTTCATGTGTAGCTTGCAAAATATTTCTTCGCTGTCTGTACTCTACAAATACGTCTGTTTTACTCTTCTGGGAGAAATGTGCAAGGGGTAGTGCGTGACACAAGAAAGGACCCGCTCGCTTCCCTCAAACCGCACGGTGCTACTACTAAACGCGCAGTCGACTCCCCGCCGTACCTGTCACCGAAGTCGGAAGAGTGTTGGACTTCTTGAGCTGCTCCCTCCTCTCGAGCCTCGACACGGCCGTCTCCAGTTTCTTCTCCCCTTCTTGAGGGGCAGGTTTCTGCATGGTGGTCACTTTGCTGCTGCTGCTGCTTTTAGCGTCCGACTGACTACTCTGAGCAGCCTGGAGCAGAGAAGGAAAACTGTTAGGCAAGAAAGTCCGTGCGAGGATGCAAGAGAGAGACATCACTGCCTGCCCCTTCCTTAGCCCTCCTTTAGGCAAGGAATCAAAACACTGGCACTTCTAGAACTAATTGTTACTAAAGTTAGTGACAGAAAACTCAGCGAAACCAAATTTATCAAGCTGTCGCTTCAGTTAAAATACCGAATATTTTCAACCAGTGCTACCTGCTAAATAGAGCACTGAAGAACAGCATGTATGGTTGGGCACCTCACACGGTGTGACACCGTTACACATGTCCCTCATCATGCCTGTGCCTGTCAGAACAGACATTACAGGATCAGTTACCCACACAATTTCCTTTTTCACCATCCTTGGTATCTATACACAGCAGCACTGCTTATACAGCCTTATACAGCAAAGAGAAGTGTTTTACTTAGTTTAGTAATAGAAAAACACAAATAGTAAATATTTATAAAACACGAAAGGAGAAATGCTGCATTCAGTGCCTATTTCAAGCATTTTGAGTAGTACATGTGACATTACTTCATCTACTGATCTTATTAATCTAAGTTCTAATAAAATGCAGTAATATTCACCTATAACTAAATATTCCATCAATAAGCCCCAGGTGCTCAAGTTCAGCACCTTGGTTACCTGAGCTCTGAAGACCCATGTGGCAGGTGACCCTCATGCTGCTGCCCTGGCCCATAGCTACCCCGACAGCCCAGGACTTGTAACGGGTACATTTATCAAGATTGCTCACGTGCTCCTTGGCCAGCTTCTCTGCCTGCTTGGCCTCCCTGGCCTGCCTCCTCTCTTCCCTCGTAGCTTGCTGCTCACGAAACCCCTTCTGTTTCTGAAGTGCTAAAGTAATCCAAAGCGGCTGTGAAGTTTCCACTTTTTCCATCAGCTTAGAGCCATCTAAAGAGTGTCTGCTCTGGAGCACGGGCTTTTCTGCAAGAAAAGTGACAAGAATGGGTTGAGTCGCACACATCTCTTGTCCCCAGCAGAGCAGTGTGACTCCTCTCCATGTGAAAGCTCTGCATTGCACTCATAGATTACCAAGTCATTCACAAACTTTTGCAAAGGGCAAGCCAGACGCTGAAAACTTCCAGCATTTTTTTCAGAAAAGTAAGACTTAATTCAACATTCTCATATGGCTGTCCAAATTTATCTTCTTTTCTGAAAAAAAGAACAATCAACCCCAAGGCTACTGCAGACACAGATTTACAGACTAGCTCATTACACGCAGCCCCTCTCCACGAGGCCCTCGAGTGCAGGCCATGCACGTGAGCTGATTATTACACCTGTGCCGAGAGGCCGACGCCACCAGACAGGCTGGCGGCGCTGCCTCCACGGCGTCTCCACGCATCCCCCTTGAGAAGCAGAGGTGAATGGAAAAACTGCAGCTATGCCTGTGTTCAAAGAGATGGCAAAAATAGGCAGCAGTTGCACTGAAATTCAATTTAAAAAAAATGTCTTAAAGGCCTGTAAAATTCAGGAATGGAAAAAATGGGATTCCCCAGCTAAATGCTGAAACCTTTCGTTAGTGCCCTTGCACTTACCGGAGTGCTTTGTTCCTCGGGAAGAGAACACACTCGCAGGAGCCAGGGGCTTTCAGCCTTGCTCTGAAGTGCCAATACGGCCCTTGGATTGTTTTTGCGAGTGAAATGTGGTTGCCTGTGGCCAGCTATACTGGCTAGAGCATTTGCCTTGAGAGGCACTCACGGTAAGAAGGCTGAGATCTCAACAGCCTTAATGCTGGCTACATCACCCTAAAAATAGCTCTGCTGTAATGTGATTTATAGAAGGGAGCCCCTCTCCTCGGAGGCCCCTGTAACACCTGCAACACAACGTGCTCTACCCCATCGCCTGACCCACTGAGTAACCTGTCAAGGAAAACTCCTTGAAATTAACTTTCTTCAGGAGGCCACCCGGGCTGAGGTTCCGTGCATGTGAATTAGGCTGCAGGGAGGGCACATCCTACTCATGCACACAACCCCAGCAAAGTGCTGGCCCTCAACAAACAACACACTGAGCAACTACGATAGTTTAAGACCAAATTTCTGCCTCTGCACATCCGTATCCCATTTTGGAGACACAGACAATAGTTAAAGGGCGTTTCCAAAGTACCCACCTTTTTTCAGTGGCTCAGGCTTTTTGTCATTTCTTTCTCTCCACGGGATACTTAAAGATGGGAAAAAGGATTTCTTTTCTCTGGCCTCTTCCTCTTCGCTCCTGCAGTCGCTCGGGGCTGCGGGGGGCACTGTGCTGCCTTTCTCTTCCCTCTTCCAGCCGCCATCCGACTCAGCTTTCACCAACCTCGGCCCCGGAGCGTCGGCCACGTTGGATCTGTTCAGTTTAGAGAGAGGGGACGGCGGCGGCGTCTGGCTGCTGGGCTTGGGGGCCAGCGCCGGTTTCTGCGTGACCAGCGCCCTGCACGCGGGTTTCTCGTGGGCAGGCAGAGCCGCAGGGGCCGGGGGAGGCCCCGCTGGCGGCGCCATCTCCATGGCGGGAGCTGGAGAGTCTCTCGAGTCCTTTCCGTCAGCGGGAGCGCTGGCTCTGCCCGCGCCCGGCGACGTGCCCTCCTGTGCAGCAAACACAGCGGAGTCCTTGTCACCTTCCGCATTAACGAGCGGGTCGGGCACTCCGTCAAAGCTGTCCCCGGCGCTGTACCTTTTCTTTTTCCTTTGCTCTACCTGCTGATCATAATGGAAACGCAAAGAGTAGTTTGTCCTCCGTAACTTAATTCCAAAAGGAGAAGTGTTTTCTTCTCCATTTGGTGCTGATTTCTCTGCTTTCCTTGTGTTGTTATTCTGCTGGTTTTCTGGAGCACCTGGCAATTCTGACTGGGACAGTTCTTTGCCTGGAGAATGAGGAAAACTTGGAACAAGAAAAGATGGAAGATCTTTTGCAAATTTACAGCCCTCTGTGTTGTCTGTCACTTCACTAGGGGCTTCCGATTTCTCCTTCACCATTTCAGCCAGGTTGTCCTTCGGAGCCCCCTCCCCACTGGGAGCAGCGGACGAGCCCGTATTTCTCCCCGCGGTCACCACCTCTTTGCCTTTTGCCACACTTGCAGTCTCAGCATCCAAATTGGTTTTTGAAGATTCTGAAAACTTCTGCCACGCTGGTGTTATCGAGAACTTTGCATTTGCAGACAGGGTTTTTCTCAGGTTACCATGGGGAGCACCTCGGCCCCGGGGGGTCCAGTCATCGCTGTGCCTGCACGCACTGACTCGGTCCTTCTCGCTGTACTTGCTGCTTTCTGCACTCTTGAGGATTCGCGAGCGGATGGAGGCCCACTCGGCCAATATGGCCTGGTTGTTCAGTGCCTCCTGCGCGTACCTCATCTTGGCACTGCTCCCTCTGGGATCCGGCGTCCTTTTCGGGGCCTTCTCTGGCGAGGGAACATCCACATTTTTTCGTTCTTCTGCCAACCCGAGCAGCGACTTACAGGCCGTGTCCTTTATCTGGTTCACGCTGACGGCGGTGCCGCAGAGCTGCGCGCCCGTGACCAGGATGGCCGTGTGGGGGACGCCCGTGGACGAGGGCAGCGCGGGGGAGCCCTTGCTGGAGGTGTGTGCCCTGCGCTCCCGGCTGGAGGGGGACGAGGGCCCCGCGCCCTTGACGGGCATGACGGGGCTCAGATTCACCTTCTGGAACAGGATCTGCTTCTCTCCGGAAGACACCTGAAACGTGAAGGGTCTGGATGCAGTCTGCCTTTCATCCACCTCCTGCCACCTCAGTTCCTCCCCTAGTCGCTTCTGCTCCTGAGCCTCAGCTTCTCTCTTCAGTTTCTGGGCTAGCATTTCTTCCGCTGTTTTACTCTCTTTCTCTGGCTGTTTGATGTTTTGCGGTCTTGAGTCTTCTTGGAGCTTCTCCTCTACTGAGTGCTGATCTGCCCCTCCAGAAGACAAAAGATCCTTGTCCTGTTGCTCTTCAAAGGATTTCTCCTGTTCTTGCTGCTCTTCCTGAAGACTTTGTCCTTCTGTGTCTATCTTCTGCTCTTGCACCTTGCTCCGCTCTTGTTCCTTTTGCTCCTCTTGCTTCTCCAGTCTGTCTTGCTGCACACTGTCTTCGCTCTCCATGTGCATTTGTTTGGTGAGTTTGTGCTTTCTCTGCTCTTCCCGTTTCTGTTGCTTCTCCGGTACTTGCTGGGGTTGCTCCTCCTCTGTCTTTTCTCCTTCCTCCTCCTTAAAATGCTGCCTTTGGTCCCCCAGTTTCTTTTGTGGTTTGAGGGTCTCAGGTTCTTTCTCATCCCCCACTGTCACTTCAGCCTCTTGAAGCTCTTTCTCCAGCTCTTGTCTCTGTTTTTCTTGCCTGCTCTGTTCCTCCAGGTCTTTTTGTTCCTCCAGATGTTTTTGCTGTTCTTCTTGACACTGTTTCTCAATCTCATGTTGCCTTAACTCTTCCAGCTGTAGCCTCTGCTGCTCCTCCAGCTCCCTGCACCTCTGCAGCTCCTGTTCCCGCTGCTTCTGTTCCTCAAGTTCTCGCCTCTGTTGCTCCTGCAGTTCCTGGCGCTTTTCCTCCTCCAGCTTCCACCTCTGTTGCTCCTCCAGCTCCCTGTGCCTTTGCTGCTCCAGCTCTTGCCTCTTTTCCACCTCCAGCAGTCTTCCCTCCTCTTCCTGGCATGGCTGCTCCTCTGTTTGCAATGATGTCTCTCCTTCCAGGAGCTGCTGCTGGCTCTCCTCTTTGCAAGGCTCTTCCTGCATCTGCTCTTTCTCCAGCTCTTTCTGCATCTGCTCAAGTTCTTGGCACCTTTGCTCTTCCATTTCTCTTTGTTCCTCCGTTTCTACAATCTGCCTTATCCTTTCGGCCTCAAAGATCCCCCAGTGATCTTCAATTCTCTTCTTTTCTGCCAGCTGAAGCTCCCTCTGTTCATCTTTGTTCTGGATGAGCCTGTCTGCTGTGATGTAAGCTGGGTATCTTTCTGCATATAGCTCAGTTTCTAGATCCTCTGGCTCAAATTCTGTTACCGTTAAACTTTGTGATCCCTACAGTGAGGAGAAAAAGTCTGCTGTTACTTCATATTTTACTACTTTTTCCTTTTTACAATGATACAGTTTCAGAGGCATCAAACTCCAGTTTATGGATTACATCATGTTACATTATAAACACCTGCCCCATGACACAAAGCTACTGGAATGATGCCCTTTAAAAAAATAAAACTATCCCAAGAGTGATAAAAAGATAACGCTAAGTAATGAAACATCACTTGGTATCCATGAATTAGGGCAGGCAGAGACCTGCCATTGCAAATATACAGAAGCCCAATGAACAGACCCCAAGTTTCTGTCTAGTGAATTAGAATTCCATTCTTTAAGCTTGAAATATTTTGCAGTGACCAGTCGCTCACTACCTTTGTTAATCTCCTGTGTTTTCTTGACATCCGCTGCTTTTTTGGCTTTACTGACAACTTGTGTTTAGCTGCACTGTTGTCCAGACGAGCAACAGCCTGGGGAACCGCATCCAAATTGATTGTTTCAATTGTGCCAGAACAGGAAAACTGTCGTTTTGGCCGAGACGATTTGATTGGAGTGACCTGTTTGGATCACAAACACAGAGAAGTTCTTATCAAGCTATTTATTTCATTTAAAAATAAATAACCCTTTTAAATAACAAATAAATAAAACCTTTGCAGTTTTGAATTCAAAAGTGGTTATTAGCAGGAAAGATTTCAAATCCCATTTCCAAATCCCACTGCAGAAATTATAAACTTTAATCATTGAAGTTATGGCTATAATAGTTTCCTGTTTCCAGTACCACATACACATTTTCATACTTTTCAGTTAAAAATTACTTGGATCATTCTAACCATCTTTTTTTTTTTTTTTTTGCAGTTTAATTCCACTCTGAAGTTGTTGGGAATAGGAAGGGCAGAGACAGAATTGCCAGCAATGTCTCTAAGACATTTCAAAGTTTGCTTAATGTAGAAAAATACCCACATCTAAACTAAGGCTAGATGCTTGAGGGGAGGCTCAGTGAGGACACACGTAGGAATTTCACCAGAGGCTACAGGGCAGAGCTGGGGAGCTGCAAGGCCCGTCTGCGAGACGACTCGGGCCGTCCGGTGCCCTCTCCACAGCACGTGGCACTATCCAAGCACCAAGGAAGAGCAGAACAGTAAAAGAAAACTGACTTTGGTGCTCTCTCGCACTGCACAAAAATTTGAGTTCAGAAACTGCAAATCCTGTGTGAATAAATACAGTGGAAGTGGAGACTGAGCTCTGTGAGGAAACGTCTGCTCAGCCACTGAGCTGCAGCGAGTGCCCGACTCATCGTTACACTGATGTTTGGCACAAGCCAAGTGGGAAAGGAAGATATAAAAACAGAACAGAGAAAACATCTTTTGTAAGTGCAGAAAATCACATATATTGTTTTCAAGACAGTTCTGTCATCTTCGGAGGTTAAATACATGCAAATTAGGGAACCAATCACTTAAAAAGCTGATGGAATATTTTGCATACACTTACTGAATTACATGTTGGCAAACAAAGTATTAGAAGTACTTATGAAAAT